CAGGCATTTTAATAATTGATTTTATTTTGTGCAAATTTTAAATGGTATTAATTTTATAGTGCTTCGTAATTTTAACTTATACTGTTTTAGCTTTCCCTAACTCTCAGCTGTATATTGCTGTATATTATTGTGAACAGTATATTGTTGAGTATTATGTATACTGGTGTGTTTTGTTTACTTAATAGTTTATTGCTATATTGTATATACTATTATTTTTCTTATTGTTTTTATTGGTATATTTGATTTTGTTTTCTTGTTCTATGATCTGCTGAGAGTCCTTTTGGACTATTTGTTGTAGAATATAAGTTTATTAATAAGTAAGTAAATAAATAAAAATAATTTCTCTAGCAAAAAGAAAGAAAAAAGTCCAAATGGATGACAGAAGAAATACAGTTGTTAAGGGCATATGAAAGCAAAAACAAAAGATGATAACAATAGGGTAAGAATCCTGATTGCAACTTTGCAGTCTATGTGACAAAAAGAGACAAAAATGAATTATTACAATGTCCAGTACAAAGAAATAGAACAACAAACGAGGAAAAACAAAAGACTATTTCCAAAAGACCCAAGAAATTAAAGGGAAATTCAAACCTAGATTAAGAATGCTGAAAGGCAAACGGGAATATACTATCTGATGAGGAAAAAATAAACAGAAGGTGGGAAAAATATACAGAAGAACTATACAGAAGAGATTTTAAAAAAAGATGGCAGTCCTTCAAAGAGGAATCCTATAAGGAAGCACCTGCAAAATTAGAGAGTGCACTGAAAGCTGGTCTGAAAGCACTTGGAAGCAACCAAGTACCAGGAGTAGATAAGGTACCAAAGAACTATTTCAAACTGCAGAGACATACTGCATAGATACAATAGGCCTTGCTTACTAGCTACTAATGAACACCAGGTTACCTGCTGTAGGAGACAGAATGTACCTCTGTTTGCAAGAGAAATAAAAGCCTGTGAGTTCCAGATAGGTAACTGATAGATAAATGCAGCAGCTCGAACAGCACAATGGGATTTGTTTTAGCATTCTTAACAGAAATCACACAGGAAGCTTGTTGGACATGTGGGTTGGTCACATCCCCAGCAGTATCGGTGAAAGCTGAGCTAAACCATGCAGGCAGGGATTGCCCAGTCTTTTGCTGGGGCTCCAAGCCCAGCCTCCCAGGTAACAGTGGGAACTGCAAGAACCAATCAGCTTCCAGGGCAGGAATTTCAAACCAATGTCTTTGCTACCTAGTCAGCAAGGTATAAAAGGGGACTGCTCCATCGGTTCCTTTTGTTTGAGATCACACTGTTCTCTAGAATAAAATCCACTCCCCTCCAACTATTGTTGTGCTTGATTGGACTAGGGTGCCAAGACCGAACCCCTTGTGTCCTTCAAGCTCAAAGGAGATTCGGCTTGCAACGCTATATATGTTAGAGTAAGTCCCATTCTACTCAGTCAAACTTACTCCTAAGCAGGCATGCATATGCTTGCTCCGTTAATCCTACAGTGATTCTTACATTTGCTTCAGCCACCGTTTTCCTTATTTTTCTCTGAGTCTTCAATGCACACTGCAACAGTAATATAATCAGTGTGTTTAAGATTTGAGATTACAGCCACTGGAATCTTGTATATGAAAAAGGTCTCAATTTTCATTTTTTAGTGCTTAAGAATCATGAAAAGTCCCCAAAATCTGATGAGTCCACTATGTCTGTACATCCTTACACACATAGTGGACTATGTCTGTACTTCCTTTCATCCTTATCCCTTTTTATTATAAGACTATCTTGATAAATGTTTTTGAAGTCAACTTTTTGATATGCGTAGGAGACCAGGTAAATTTGCCAAGTTGGCAGTTTCAGATGCACAACCAATCCAGTCTTTTCCTCATACTAAGGCTTGCAGCTCCCCTTCATGGATCACTGCCTTGTCGTGGCGAAGGGGCTTGCGTAGCTCAATGAAGCTATGAGCTATGCTGTGCAGGGCCACCCAAGACGGACAGGTCACAGCAGAGAGCTCTGACAAAATGTGATCCACTGGAGAAGGAAATGGCAACCCACTCCAGTACCCTGGTCATGAAAACCCCATGGACAGTACCAAGAGGCAAAGAGATATGATGCCGGAAGAGGAGCCCCTCAGGTCGGAAGGTGTCCAATATGCTACTGGGGAAAAGCAAAGAGCTAGTACTAGTAGCGCCAGAAAGAATGAAGCGACTGGGTCAATGCTGGAAGGACACTCAGTTGTAGATGTATCTGGGGGTGAAAAGAAAATCTGATGCTGTAAAGATCTATACTCCATAAGAACCTGGAATGTAAGATCTATGAATCAAGGTAAGCTGGACGTGGTCAAACAAGAGATGACAAGACTGAACATCGACATCTTAGAAATCAGTGAACAAAAATGGACAGGAATGGGTGAATTTAATTCAGATGACCATCAGGTATAATACTGCAGGCAAGAATCCCTCAGAAGAAATGGAGTAGCCTTCATAGTCAATAAAAGAGTAGGAAAAGCAGTACTGGGATGCAATCTCCAAAATGACAGATTGATCTCAGTTCGAATCCAAGGCAAACCATTCAACATCACAATAGTCCAAGTCTATGCCCAACCACTGGTGCTGAAGAGGCTGAAGTTGACCAGTTCTATGAAGACCTACAACACCTTCTAGAATTAACACCCAAAAATGATGTCCTTATCATCATGGGGGATTGGAATGCTAAAGTAGGAAGCCAAAAGATAACCGGAATAACAGGCATGTTTGGCCTTGGAGTACAAAATGAAGGAGGACACAGACTGGTAGAATTTTGTCAAGAGAACACATTGGTCATAGCAAACACTTTTTTCCAACAACCCAAGAGACAACTCTACACATGGACATCACCTGACGGTCAACACAGAAATCAGATCGACTATGTGCTCTGCAGCCAAAGATGGAGAAGCTCTATACAGTCAGTAAAAACTAGACCAGGAGCTGACTGTGGCTAAGATCATGAGCTTCTTGTTGCAAAATTTAGGCTTAAATTAAAGAAAGTAGGGGAAAGCACTAGGCCACTCAGGTATGCCCTAAATCATATCCCTGATGAATATACAGTAGAGGTGACAAATAGATTTAAGAAATTAGATCTGATAGACAGAGTGCCTGAAGAACTATGGACAGAGGTTCACAACATTGTACAAGAGGTATCGACTAAAACCATCCCAAAGAAAAAGAAATGCAGCTGAACTATTCAAAATCCTAAAGGATGATGCAGTAAAAGTGCTACACTAAATATGCCAGCAAACTTGGAAAACTCAACCGTGGCCACAGGATTGAAAAAGGTCAGTTTACATTCCAATTTCAAAGAAGGGTAATGCCAAAGAATGTTCAAACTACTGCACCATTGCACTCATTTCACATGCTAGCAAAGTTATGCTCAAAATCCTACAAGCTAAGCTCCAGCAGTATGTGGACTGAGAACTACCAGAAGTACAGGTAGGATTTCGAAGAGGGAGAGGAACTAGAGATAAAATTGCCAACATACGCTGGATCATGGAGAAAGCGAGGGAGTTCCAGACAAACATCTACTTTTGCTTCATTTACTATGCTAAAGCCTTGATTGTGTGGATCACAACAAATTGTGGCAAGTTCTTAAAGAGATGGGAGTACCAGACTATCTTATATGTCTCCTGAGACAAATATGTGGGTCAAGAAGCAACAGTGAGAATTGGACACGGAACCACTCATTGCTTCAAAATTGAGAAAGGAGTTCAACAAGGCTGTATACTGTTGCCCTGCCTATTTAACTTATATGCAGAGCACATCATGAGAAAGGCAGGGCTAGATGAATCACCAGTTGGAATGAAGATTGCTGGGAGAAATATCAGCAGCCTCAGATATGCAGATGATACCTCTCTAATGGCAGAAAGTGAAGAGGAACTAAAGAGCCTCTTGATGCGGGTGAAGGAGGAGAGTGCAAAAGTTGGCTTAAAACTCAACGTTAAGAAAACTAAGATCATGGCAACCGGTCCTATCACTTCCTGGCAAACAGATGGGGAAGAAATGGGGGTAGTGACAGATTGTATTTTCCTGGGCTCCAAGATCATCGCAGATGGGGACTGCAGCCAAGAAATTAAAAGACGCTTGCTCCTGGGAAGGAAAGCTATGGCAAATCTAGACAGCATACTAAAAAGCAGAGACATCAACCTGCCAACAAGTGTATAGTAAAGGTTATGGTTTTCCTAGTTGCCATGTATGGCTGTAAAAGTTGGACCATAAGGAAGGCTGAGCACTGAAGAATTGAGGCCTTTGAATTGTGGTGCTGGCAGAGACTCCTGCGAGTCCCTTGGACTGCAAGGTGATCTAAGCAGTCAGTCTTAGACGAGACCAACCCTGACTGCTCTTTAGGCCAGATAGTGAAGATGAAACTCAAATACTTTGGCCACCTAATGAGAAGGAAGGACTCCCTGGAGAAGAGCCTAATGCTGGGAACAATTGACGGCAAAAGGAGAAAGGGACAGCAGAGAATGAGGCAGCTAGATGGAGTCACTGAAGCAGTCGGCCTGAGCTTAAGTAGACTCCGGGGGATGGTGGAGGACAGGAAGGCCTGGAGGGATGTTGTCCATGGGGTCGCGATGGATTGGACACAACTTCGCGACTAGCAACACAAAGGCTTGCAGCTAAAGCCCAGTGGTCCCACACTTGTTCCTAAGATTTGACGAAGTTAATTTCTTAGCCATCTCAAGGCCGCACTTCCACTCATCCCATCAAGAAGACACAGACAACAGGAGAGCGCTGAGACCGTCTCCTGCTCCTTCTTACACTTCTTGCGATTTGAATCATTCAAGAATAGAAGGTGCTGATCAAGACGCTGCCAAAGTTACACTGACAGCAAAGGTAAGGGCACGGCCTCTGCACAGGCTTCACACAATTTACTAAGCCTGTGCGAGCGACCCTCTGCAGCTTACGATTCTCCTCCTCCTTCCTGAGTCATCGGGACGCGCCAAAAGGAGCGAAGTAGCGCGTGCGCAGTTTGGTTTCCTCTTCCTATTCGGCCTCGTTATCGTATCTCGCGGGGTCTGTCGAGGTGAATTAATCATGGCGGAAGCAGAGCGATGCGTTTCCCCGCCGAGCCTGGAAGGTAAGTGCAGAGCTGGGGAAAGGGCTGCTTGGTGGTGCTGCCCGTCTGCCCGTGATCTTTGTTTTCCCTTCAGTCACACTTTGAGACCATCTGGAGAGACAGAATGTGTTGAGCTCTCCGTCTACCCTCGCGTGTTAGGGTGGTTTACTTCACAAGGTTGTTGTGAATTAACGCGCCTCTGAAGAAAAGCTGAAGTACAGAGAAGACGAAGAAAAGCGTGCCCATTTACACTCAGGACTTAAATTTTCTTGAGCTTGACTCACCAGACTCACTTTCAGGTGCACAAACTTTAGTCCAGGGACATACAGAATAAAAATGGATGTTCCATGGCCTTCGGGCAGACAAAGAATGATTCTCCATCACTAATACATTACAATTCCTACGAGAGAGATGGGCAGGAGAGTCTTCCATTGCAGAGGTTCTGTTTCCAGGCAAGCAAGAATACCCTTATCTGCATGCATATTTACAAAGCTCCAAATATATATGTAATTTGCGCTTGGGAAGCATTGAGAAGCTTACCTAAGATCACCTAGTTTGGGTATGAGGGACGGGCAGGCCCTCAGCATGGGTTCTTCAACTATTTATTTATTGCATTTATAGCCCACTCTTTCTCAAGATAGCTCAGGGTAGCATTCTTGGTTCTTCCTTGGAATTTGTGATGTAGGTTTGACTAGAGTTATCTGGTTTAAGGCCAAAGATGATTAGATAAATTAAGCCAGAGTTTATTAAGATAAAAGTTCAAAATTGATAACAAAAGCAATGCAGTCACTACTGTTGAATTAGGATCTGGGACCCAGGTTGAAATCACTACTCTCTAAATGAAATTAGATGAGACTGAACAGCCACCTCTATTATCCTCAAAATTATCCTATGTACTGGAAGAAAAAAGAAATGAGCTTCTTAAAGGAAGAGTACTGAGTACTATAAAGATGTAATGAATATAAAACATTCTAGTTTTAATAAGCTATTTCTTCAAATGACAGGGTTCAACAACCTAAGGATATGCATCTGAAATAGCAAATTGTTTCCTAAACTCTTGAGGTGTGGGGATTTTTTACTCATACTTGTAACCACTGAATTGGACTTTCAAAACAGATTTCCAAATGTCAGGGTAATTTCTGCACTACAATTTTCTCATGCTTTGTATTAATTTAATTTTCTGCCATAGTGTAAAACATATTTGAATCATAGAATCATAGAATAGTAGAATTGGAAGGGGTCAGAGGCCCATTAGGTCCAACCCCTGCTCAGTGCAGGACTCCTCTTCAGATATCTGTCCAGTTACATCTTGAATGTGTCTAATGTGGAAGAGCACACAAGATAGATGATTACCAAACTTTAATTTTCCTCTGTTAGCACCAGCAAGAAAGACTGTTGGGGAAGGAAGGAGCACTTTAGACTTGGAGTATTAAATTGGCCCCAGTGATGGCAGCTATGATGTGAAGTAACAAGCTTGTTTCATGTAAATGAAGCTTTGTATACACCATTTTCCCAAAGAAAATATCTTTATTTTTGTGTCTTTTTGCAGAACCTGAAATATTTGAAATTGAGCTCCCTATTACTATCTTTGAATTGAGTGATGATGAGTTTTTGGAAGGTGAAGCTGAGGAGCATACAGCTTTGAGTGAAGATGGGTCTCTAAAAAGCCAGTTAAAAGGAGATGGAATGGTGAAAAGTGAAGAGGAAGAACAGTTAAATGGTGTTGACTTTAAGAGGAATTGTGGAGAAGAACAGATAAATCGAGTTGCAGAAAGTAAAGATGTTGGTAATGGAATGCCTTTACCATGTGAAAATCTAAATTCAGTCCAAATGGTCTCATTGCTGAATGCACTGGATAAAGTTAAGCATAATCAAAACTGGATAATGAGCATTTTAGACCACAAGATATATAATGGGATTGAAAGTGAATGTGTAAAACTAAGTCAAGCTGAAAGTGATCACAACTATTGCAAAAGGATGATACCTTCACATTTGAACATCCAGAATAAAGGAGGGAATCATGTAGCAGAAGAACTCACACAGATGGTTTTATCAGTTGACCAGGGAACAGAACTGGCTGTAAATAAATTATTTCAAGAGACTGTGCCAGCGCCTCCTTGCACGCACAGGGATGCTAATGCTGAAGGTAAATTTCTTTTTCCAGAAGAAAACAAAGTTGCAGTGATGTGGTTGGGAAAAGAAGAGACATACCACATACTCTGGTTGTGGCATGTCACTTAGACATATTTTTCACCATGTGGTATTTAAATAATATATGCTGGCCTATTACTGACTGCAATTGTTCAGTCGATGGAAAGCTGAAAAGCTTCCAGTCTGGTCAGGAGGTTTTTGGAATTCCTCCAAAACTGAAAAGAAATCACTTTAATTAGATTTTTTTTTCCATTTCAGTGAACACAAACACATAGATTGCAACTCCATATTCTATTTTATACTTAGGATTGCCTTGATTTGCTTCCTGTAGTCAGACACTACTCTTGAGTTCAGGTCTAGCAACATTTGGAAAGCTTACAGAGAAATGAATGGTAGAATTAAGAAGCTGAGAGACAGTCTACCATATCTATCAAACCTACAGTGAATACTAAAGTTTTTGGTTGGTTGGTTGGTTAGGTCTTTCATTAGCACTGTATGGGAAGTTAATAGACACTACCACATTACGTGTTGGATCAGGATTTGGTCATTTTAATGGGATACTCATCAACATCAATGGAATATAAGTTAATTATGAGTATAGTCCCATTGACTCCAGTGGGTGTACTCCAACAAACTGCTGACTTCTAGATGTTTTGGACTAGAGCATGGGTCCTCAAACCATGGCCCGCGGGCCCATTTATTATTATTTTTATTTTTATTATTATAACATTTCTATGCCGCCCCTTGCCGAAGCCTCGGGGTGGTTTACAACACAATAAAATACATTGAAATACAATAGAACATAATAAATTACCAT